CGCGAACTTTACGTGGTGCGACTTATGTCGTGCAATTGATTTCGCTAACATCCCACACACCCACCCGCAACTTGATTTGCAAACCCATGCGGCGGCGATTGCGACGAATGCTTGGCGTTGGCTGGTGCATCCCTGCGGCCGCGCTAGGCCGCGTATGCTCGCGCGCACAGCTGCCAGCTAGCTTGGCGCGACCGACGCGGCCGCGGTGGCGCTGACCGCCGGGCACTTCCCAGCGAGCACTTCAGTGCGTGTCGGTGGTTTGGGCAGACGCGGTACTATGGAGACGCCGACAAGTGTAGACACGAGTATGACAGTAGCGATGGTGGTGACGATGGTGGCGATGATGACGGCAAAACGGCGCCGATGTTGACTACGCCCGCCGATAACGATGACGATGTCCTCGCGTCGGCGATGAAGGTTTTTGAAGGGTTTCGACACGCGCACGCGGCCGATGCGCGCGAGTGGCCCGCGTGGTATTCTTTGACACGGATCGTGCCCCCCCCAACACGGGCGCAAAGCGTTTCGAATGATTTCGACATGCGGCGCGAGACGCTCGTTTGGAGGAAGTTGACGAACATGCTGAAACAATGCCATGGGATTCGTCTGAATCCGCAAGACCGCGACCGCCGTTTTTGTTTGAAAACTGATGTTCAAAACCACGTGTTCTTAATGTCATCAAGAACCTCATTCTTGAAATCTGCGCGACATCGAGCGCGCACGTCGTCCCATCTGTTGCAAGGGATTCTTACGACAGCACGGGCGAAAGAGCGTTCGAACGATTTCGGCATGCGCACGCGAAGAGGCCCGTTCTGCAACATGTAACAAACATGTTGACAAAACGATGGTTGCCCAAAGGATTCGCAAGAGCGAGGGCGCAGGCTTCTCTTTGAAATCTGTTGTTGCAAAGCCACGAACCTGCAATCCGTACGAAACTTGTAGATTTGAAAGATTTCGGCACGCGCGCGCGACGACGCGCGCGCGTGCACGTCGTCCTTTTTCTGTTGCCAGGGATTCTTGAACATTGGAATTTGTGATGGGCGACTTCGCGTGCATGAGAACTTCTGCAGAGGATGGGGGGGCGAACTCCCGCCTGGCTGGGTTAATACGAGCTCATAATTACAATGGGAGGTGGGGCAGAACCGAATGTAAAAGGCAAGCAGGTGGACCGTTAAGCCCATGGGGGGGGGGACGAGATCCGATGATTCGATTAAAAACGTGAATTCATGTGGGGCCATCAATGTGTCGCACCACGCGTTGCGCAGTATATAATGTTCATTGTAATATGTGCGTAATGAAAACTGCACTGCAACACATGCTGTGCAGTCGATGTGGAGCATAAGGCGCGGTGTGATTTAGGCGATGCAGTCTACGTTGCGGGATAAACGCGCTGCGATCTACACGGCGCCATCCATGTCGTGAAATCTACGTTGCGCAACTAGGTCGTGCAACCTACGAAATGCAATCTATTGTGCGCAAGATATGCGGTGCAATCTCTGCTGCGGGCGATCAAGCAACACGCCGCAAGCGCGAGTCTTCCGCGAAGTCGTCGCGATGCAACTCAACGGCGGAGACGGGCGGCGACGATGGTCAAAACATCTATCTACGCGGTGCCATCGACGTGGCGCGTTTCATCCTGCCGTACTTTACAATATCAACTCCACCGTTCGCGCAATCACCCCACCCACCCACCCACGCACAACTTGGTTTGCAAAACCCGTGCGGCGGCGATTGCGATGACTGCTCGGCGCCGACTGGCGCATCGCCGCCGCCGCGCTAGCGCACATGCTCGCGCGCAAAACGGCCAGCTAGATTGGCGCGACCAGATCGGCCGCGGCGGCGCGGACCGCCGGGCACTTCCCAGCGGGCACTTCAGTGCGAGTCGGCGAGTTGGGCGGGCGCGGCATCATTGCCACGTCGACAGCGGTAGACGCGATGATGATAGTGGCGGTGCTGGCGACGAGGAAGATAACGATGACGGCACGGCCAGCGACGGCGCCGATGATGATCACGCCGGCGACGATGACGGCGTCCTCGCGTCGGCGATGAACTTTTTGGAACGAGTTCGGCACGCGCGCGCGCGGCCGACGCGCGAGTGGCCCGATCGGTGCGATTCGGCACGGATCGACCCCCCCGAACACGCGAGCAAGGGCGTTCGAACTATTCGGACACGCGGCGCGAAAAACCCGCTTGGCAGAGCATAATTTAAAAAATCCGTAAGGATTCGCAGGAACGCGAGCTCAGGCTTGGCTGTCTTTTGGGGAAGTCTGTTTTTGCGAGACCGTGTGTTTCTGATAAGCGCTCGGGACACCCGATCTGACAAAACCTCAGCTTTGCGAAAGACGCTGGCCCGCGCGCATGCACTTCGCCCCGTTTTTGGCAGGGCGCCCTTGCAACACCACGCGCGCAAGGGTGTTCTTGCGATTTCAATGCGCGAGCGCGGGAGGCCTGCAAGGTAGCATGTAATAGAAATGTCGATAATCAATGGTTCACTGAAGAATTCGCAAAAGCGGCGCGAGCGCAAGTTTTTGTTGACAAACCTCGTTGCGAACATATGTTGTTATATGGTATCGGTACGCTCGAAAATGACATCCCTACGGAACCGACGGTCTTTGAAAGATTCCGGCATGCGCGCGCGACCGCGCGCGCGCACGTAGACCAAATGTTGGCAAAGGGTTCTTGAAACATATTGATAGACGAGCGCGCGCACAATCTCTTGCGCAGAAGATGAAAGGGGGCACGCAAAGGGGGGCATTAAATCCGGGAGGAAGGGGAGGGGGGGCCGGGGGAGTCTATAATTCTTTTTGTCGCCAGTGCGCGCAGCGCGTTGCCAACTCCACTTCTCGCGCAATCATCCCACCCACCCATCCCGCAACTTGGTTTTACAAATCCATGCGACGGCGATTGCGATGAATACTTGGCGTTGGTCGGTGCACCTACGCGGTCGAGCTAACTAGCCCGCGCATGCTCGCGAGCACAGCGGCCAGCTAGCACGGCGCGACCGATGCGGTACCGCTGACCGCTGGTCACTTCCCAGCGGGTACTTCAGCGCGAATCGGTGATTTGGCCAGGATCGATGTCATGGCGACGCTGATGAGTAGCGATGATGGTGGCGATGATGACAACGACGACGCCAAGGCCATTGACCGCGTCGATACTGATCATGCACGCCAATAAAGATGCCGGCGTCCTCGCTTCGGCGATGAAGGTTCCGGGGGGAGTTCGACATGCGCGCGCGGCCGACGCGCGAGAGTGGCCCGCGCGGTATCATTTGACACAGATCGTGCCCCCCCTCCCCAGCACGCCCACAACGGCGTTCGGATGGGTTCGAGATGCGGGGCAAAAGGCCCGATTGGCAGAATTTGATGACAATGGTGGAAGCCCTATGGTATTCTGAAAAAAATCGCAAGAGCGGGCGCGCAGGCTCTATTTTTGGAAATCTGGTATTGCAAAACAAAATGCACTTTAGGCGGATTCGGAACACTCGTCTTTGAAATCCTTACGACATGTGGCGTTTTTGAATGATTTCGGCATGCGCGCACGACGACGCGCGCGCGCACATCGCCCCAGGTTTTGCGGAGGATTCTTGCGACAGCACGCGCGCAAGGGCGTTCGAACGATTTCGACATGCGCGCGCGAAAAGCCCATTCGGTAGCATGTTATGAACATGTTGAGGAACATATGGCTGTCTAAAGGAATTTGCACAAACGCGAACGCACATTGTTTTTCGAACATCCGTGTTGCAAAACAATGTGTGTTTCCTGCGTTTCCGTGACACTCGATTTTGAAATCCCTACGAAAACTGCGGTCGTTGGGAAACTTCGACACGCGCGCGCGACGAAGGGCGCGTGTGTTCTCCGTTCAATTTGAAGCAGGGGGTTATTGCACACTTATGCTCTTTGATAGGCGAATGCGTGCGCATACAATTTGTAGACATAAAATATAATAGGGGAGAGACCGGCCTGTCTGGGATGGTACGAGATCATATTTAGGGTAAACGAGAACATTATGTAAACTGCACATCCCCAGGGGGATAAGTCCTGGGGAGGAAGGTCGACCCTAATACTATTCTACAAAAAAAGATCGTATGTTGTGAAATAGATTGTGTGCCATCCATGTTGTGCACATTGTGTGGTGCGATGTATGTGGTTGTGGGCGCGCAGGAAGGGGTAGGGGGAGGACGGAAGGATTCGTAGAAGGAGGCTACTTCTTGGAAGGCGCCGGCCTTACATCTAAACAGAAGGCCCGCGCCTTCTAAGAAGCAGGGGTCCTTCTAAGAAGCCTTCCCCCCTCCCCCTACCTTTCACTCCGCGTGGCGGAGTGGCGCAATCGACGTGAAGCAATCAATGTGTCGCAATACACGTTGTGCATTATATGTTGTGCTGGTGTGCATTCAATTCTGCGTACTATGCGCAGCATATGATTACCATATACGTGGTGCAACCTATGTTGTGAGTGATCAATAACCGCGCCGCGGGCGCGAAACATGTTTCGTGTAGACTCCGTAGTGCACTCCAACGGCGGCAGCGGGTGGCGACGGCCCGCACGAAGCCGCCGCACCGCCCACACGGCCCAGGCGACGAGCGGCAACGAGAAGGCGACGGGGCGGCGACGGGGCGGCGACGGCCGGCACGGAGCCGCCAGACCGCCCGCACGGCCCAGGTCCTCAGAGCACACATAAGAGCCGCCCAGCACAAGCATTGTTTGGGGAAAACTGTCCTCTCCATATCCCGATTCAAAAGCCGCGTTCCATGCGCAAGACCCTTACTTCCGAGGATGCGTGTTTCGGGCCCGCGGCCCCAAAAACTCCAGACCGCCCCCCTGGGCGTGGCATTTTGTGCCAGATCCGTTCTAGATGGTTCCGGGCCCGCAGAGCGGCTTCTGGGAGGCCGAGATCCGCGAAAAACGACGTGGCCTGAGAACACAATCCTCCCAGCCCCTGGGAACAAGAACAGCCTGCCCGACCCGCCCGCCCGCTCTCTTGCCCTCGGCTGACCCGCTTCCTTCGCCCGCAGCTCGCTCGCCGAGGCCACGTCAGCGACGGCCTTCTCGCACCGCGCCACCTCGGGCGCCCAAGGGATCTCTTAACACCCTTTGGGCGGCGCGCCCCGGGGGGGAAGTGAGAGGGAGCGGGCCTTTTCAGAAGCTCGCTGCGTCTTCGGGAAGGCTTGGAAAGCTTCTCAGAAGGCCCGAGGCCTTCCGAGCCTTCCGAGAAGGCCCGCCCCCTATCGTTTCCCCCATCTGCTCGCCGCCGACTCACCCTCCCTCGCAAATCTCGGGGCCGACCACGGACGCGGCACATTCCAGAAACCGACCAAACCGACAGCGAGGAGGGAGGAGGGAGGAGGGAGGAGGGAGGAGGGAGGCGGTGGGAAGAGGAGGAGGAGGAGGACGAGGAGGAGAAGGAGGAGGCGGAGGAGGAGGAGGAGGCGGAGGAGGAGGAGGAGGCGGAGGAGGAGGCGGAGAAGGAGGAGGCGGGACGCAGGAGCAGAGCGAAGCCGAGAAGGCGGCAGGCGGCCCAGGTGGGCGCAGGCGACGCAGCAGCGGCGCGGCGGGCGACGCGGCAGCGACGCGACAACCGAACCGAGCCGAGCGCCGTGCCCGCGCGCCCTGTCGGTGCGCGGCGCACGAGGGCCCGGAGTCTGAAACCTCCTCCTCCTCCTCCTCCCCCTCCCTTCTCCTCCCCCTCCCTTCTCCTCCTCCTCCTCCTCCTCGACGAGAACGGTGGATCGTGGAGTCCCTCGCCGTTCGGTGTGTGTGTGTGTGTTTGTGTGTTTGTGTGTTTGTGTGTTTGTGTGTTTGTGTGTGTTTGTGTGCTTGTGTGCTTGTGTGTTTGTGTGTTTGTGTGTTTGTGTGTTTGTGTGTTTGTGTGTTTGTGTGTTTGTGTGTTTGTGTGTGTGTGTTTGTGTGTTTGTGTGTTTGTGTGTTTGTGTGTTTGTGTGGTTGTGTGCTTGTGTGCTTGTGTGTTTGTGTGATTGTGTGTTTGTGTATGTGTGTGTGTTTGTGTGTTTGTGTATGTGTGTGTTTGTGTGTGTTGTGTGTGTTGTGTGTTTGTGTGTTTGTGTGTTTGTGTGGTTGTGTGTGTTTGTGTGTTTGTGTGTTTGTGTGTTTGTGTGTTTGTGTGTTTGTGTGTTTGTGTGTTTGTGTGTGTGTTTGTGTGTTTGTGTGTTTGTGTGTTTGTGTGTTTGTGTGGTTGTGTGCTTGTGTGCTTGTGTGTTTGTGTGATTGTGTGTTTGTGTATGTGTGTGTTTGTGTGTTTGTGTATGTGTGTGTTTGTGTGTGTTGTGTGTGTTGTGTGTTTGTGTGTTTGTGTGTTTGTGTGGTTGTGTGGTTGTGTGTGTTTGTGTGTTTGTGTGTTTGTGTGTTTGTGTGTTTGTGTGTTTGTGTGCTCGTGTGTTTGTGTGTTTGTGTGTTTGTGTGCTTGTGTGTTTGTGTGTTTGTGTGTTTGTGTGTTTGTGTGTTTGTGTGGCTGTGTGTTTGTGTAGTTGTGTGTGTGTTTGTGTGTGTTTGTGTGTTTGTGTGTTTGTGTGTGTTTGTGTGTTTGTGTGTTTGTGTGTTTGTGTGTTTGTGTGTTTGTTCTGCGTGTGTGTTTGTGTGGTTGTGTGTTTGTGTGTGTGCGTGTTTGTGTGTGTGTGTTGTGTGTTTGTGTGCTTGTGTGTTTGTGTGTTTGTATGCTTGTGTATGTGTGTGTGTGTTTGTGTGTTTGTGTATGTGTGTATGTGTGTGATTGTGTGTTTGTGTGTTTGTGTTTTTGTGTGTTTGTGTGTTTGTGTGTTTGTGTGTTTGGGTGTTTGTGTGTTTGTGTGTTTGTGTGTTTGTGTGTTTGTGTGTTTGTGTGTTTGTGTGCTTGTGTGTTTGTGTGCTTGTGTGTTTGTGTGTTTGTGTGTTTGTGTATGTGTGTGTGTGTGTTTGTGTGTGTTTGTGTGTGTTTGTGTGTGTTTGTGTGTTTGTGTGTTTGTGTGTGTTTGTGTGTTTGTGTGTTTGTGTGTTTGTGTGTTTGTGTGTTTGCGTGTTTGTGTGTTTGTGTGTTTGTGTGTGTGTGTTTGTGTGTTTGTGTGTTTGTGTATTTGTGTGGTTGTGTGTTTGTGTGGTTGTGTGTTTGTGTGTTTGTGTGTGTGGTTGTGTGTTTGTGTGTGTTTGTGTGGTTGTGGTTGTGTGTTTGTGTGTGTGTGTGCTTGTGTGCTTGTGTGTTTGTGTGTTTGTGTGTTTGTGTGTTTGTTTGGTTGTGTGATTGTGTGCTTGTGTGTTTGTGTGGTTGTGTGTTTGTGTGTTTGTGTGTTTGTGTGTGTGTGTTTGTGTGTTTGTGTGTGTTGTGTGCTTGTGTGTTTGTGTGTTTGTGTGTTTGTGTGGTTGTGTGGTTGTGTGGTTGTGTGTGTTTGTGTGGTTGTGTGTTTGTGTCTTTGTGTGTTTGTGTGTGTGTTTGTGTGTTTGTGTGTTTGTGTGGTTGTGTGTTTGTGTGGTTGTGTGCTTGAATGCTTGTGTGTTTGTGTGTGTTTGTGTGTTTTTGTGGTTGTGTGGTTGTGTTTGTGTGTGTGTTTTTGTGTTTGTGTGTTTGTGTGTTTGTGTGTCTGTGTGTTTGTGTGTTTGTGTGTTTGTGTGTTTGTGTGGTTGTGTGTTTGTGTGTGTGTTTGTGTGTGTGTTTGTGTGTTTGTGTGTTCGTGTGTTTGTGTGTTTGTGTTTGTGTGTGTGTTTGTGTGTTTGTGTGTTTGTGTGGTTGTGTGTGTGTGTTTGTGTGCTTGTGTGCTTGTGTGTGTGCTTGTGTGGTTGTGTGGTTGTGTGTGTTTGTGTGTTTGTGTATGTGTGTGTGTTTGTGTGCTTGTGTGTTTGTTTGTGTGTTTGTGTGTTTGTGTGTTTGTGTGTTTGTGTGTTTGTGTGTTTGTGTGTTTGTGTGTTTGTGTGTTTGCGTGTTTGTGTGTTTGTGTGTTTGTGCGTTTGTGTGTTTGTGTGTGTGTTTGTGTGCTTGTGTGTTTGTGTGTTTGTGTGTTTGTGTGCTTGTGTGTTTGTGTGTTTGTGTGTTTGTGTAGTTGTGTGTGTGTGTTTGTGTGTTTGTGTGTTTGTGTGTGTTGTGTGTTTGTGTGTGTGTTTGTGTGTGTGTTTGTGTTTGTGTGGTTGTGTGAGGAGCGGGAAGAGGAGGAGGAGGAGGAAGCAGAGGAGGAGGAGAGGGAGGCCCCAGATGTTTTCCTTCGCCTGCCCCCCCCCAAAAAAAAACATGATGGACCCACGAACCCGGAAAGGGATAAAGACATGTGCAGCATGGTCACGTTTTCACGATACCCAACTGGGCGACATCTCACGAAACATCCCACGAGACACCCCGCGAAACATCCCACGAGACACCTCACGAAACATTCCACGAGACACCTCACGAAACATTCCACGAGACACCCCGTGAAACATTCCACGAGACACCCCACGAACAGGCAACCACTCAACCAGACACGCCACGAAACATTCCACGGGGGTGCGACTGGGTGTGGTCGTGCTGGGGTGTGGTCGTGCTGGGGTGTGGTCGTGCTGGGGAGTGGTCGTGCTGGGGTGTGGTCGTGCTGGGGGGTGGTCGTGCTGGGGGGTGGTCGTGCTGGGGGGGTGGTCGTGCTGGGGGGTGGTCGTGCTGGGGCGTGGTCGTGCTGGGGCGTGGTCGTGCTGGGGCGTGGTCGTGCTGGGGTGTGGTCGTGCTGTGGTGAGGTCGTGCTGGGGTGTGGTCGTGCTGGGGTGTGGTCGTGCTGGGGTAGGGTCGTGCTGGGGTCGGGTCGTGCTGGGGTGTGGTCGTGCTGGGGTATGGTCGTGCTGGGGTGGGGTCGTGCTGGGGTGGGGTCGTGCTGGGGTCTGGTCGTGCTGGGGTGTGGTCGTGCTGGGGTATGGTCGTGCTAGGGTGGGGTCGTGCATTTCGCTCGAGACATCCTGCCAAAATTCCAGGAAATCGTACAAAAACAAACGAATTAGTCGAGACATCATCGAAATTCCTTCGCGCGGGGCGCTTTTCCGCGTCGCGGTCGGCTCTGCAAAACCAGCGTGTCGCTCGAGACATCCTCAACAAATTCTGAAACCAAGCGTTTCGCTCGAGACATCCCCAACTCTGCAAAACCAGCGTCTCGCTCGAGACATCCTCAACAAATTCTGAAAAACAAGCGTTTCGCTCGAGACATCCTCAAAAATAATTTCGCCGGCCTCCTTCGACCTCGATATTTATGAAGGAAAAATTTCGCCGGCCTCCTTCAAGTTGGGCACCGGGGACATGTTTACATAGAAAAAGAGAACCCTGGGCCCAAGCCCTTTCCGGGAAAAAACACGTGAAGCCGATTGATCGTTTTTGTTCTGGGGGGGGGGGGGGCGGCGGCGAAACAACAAGAATCCGGCGTGGCCTCATTTGCCCTCACCTCTGGACGGGGTCCGATTGAAAGCCCCTACAAGAAGGCTTCATAGTGAAATCCTTCACATGAGGATTACTATCGAAACCCTCCACAAGGATCGCTATTGAAATCCTCCACATGTTGGAACCTATTGGAAGCACCTGCAGAAGGATTGCTATCGAGATACTTCGAAAGAAAGAATATCCCCGTCTGCATTGCAATGGCATTCGTTTGGCAATGGCATGGAATTGCGCTGGAATTGTGCTTTGCAGTGCGGCATTGCGCTGGCACTTCGCAAGCATTGCGTTGGCGAATCCTGATGGGACCCTCCACAAAAAAAACTCCCATTGAAACCTCCCATCCGCAAAAAAAGTCATGTTGAAATCCTCCACGGAAAGATTACATGCGAAGCCCTCCGCTGAAGGATTCTCGTTGAAATCTACCACAAAGGATTTCCCCAATTGGCATTGCATTGTATTGGTTTGGGATCGCCTGGGCATTCATTGCGCTGGCATTGCGTTGGCACTGCTTTGGCATGTTTCTGGCATTGCGTAGCGAGTTCCAGTGCCTCCCTTCGCAGAAGGATTTCTAACAAAACCCTCCACACAAAAGGATTCCCCTTGCAATATAACACAAAAATACTAGCCGGCCGCTCTGCGGTTGATCGGGAGTTTCTGTATATAGAAGAAGGTGCGTGCGCTTGTTGGCGAGGG